GGGGGGGTGCGGTCCTGGTGCCCCCTGAGATTTGTCACTTTCATTACCACGCCATGGATACATCGGGAGGGAGGAACAGGAGAGCAGGGGGCTCCTAGCAGGTGGAAAACACCCGCAGCCTCGTATGGGCCCTGATGGGCTTTGGCAGCTTCATTCCTGAAGAAGGTGGAAGAGCCTGGGCAGGCACGCCCCACCCTCCACCATGGCGCTGGGCGGGGCGGGAGCAGCGGCACGCCTGCCACCCACCCAGGAGCACTGTAGACCCTCCCACTGACCCCAGCAGTGTCCACGAGAGTCTGCCGGGCACCCACCAGGTGCTGGCCCCACAACCACTCAGAGGCAGAGGGGCCTCCTGACCCCCAAGACCTGGGGACCTGTTTGCCCTTGGAGTCCCTGCCCTGGAGCTGAGCCTGTGTCTTGCTCCCACTCCGGAGGGCAGGCCAGGCCCCGGGGGATATGGCGACCCCAGACTGACCTTGAGGCCTTACCTGGATGTGACCTTAAGGGCATGTTCACAAGCATTAGATCGCACACACGCCCTTACAGTCTGGGCTGCTCCCCACCAGATGCACTGAGCCCCCAGCTCCCACAAGCTCCAGGGCTCTCAGTCAGTCAGTTGGCCCCATTGGCCCCCAGGAGGAAGCCAGGCCGGGCCACCGGGATGCTGTTGGGGAAATCACCCTGAGCTTGGCCTCGGCCTCCCCGCCATGCTGGGCACGTCCCGTCCACACAAGGATGCGAGGGTGAGGAGGGTCTCTGAATTAGAAGCAGCATGGCCTTGGCCACGGGGGGAGGGGGCCTGCCTTGGACCTTGCTGCTGTGGCGTAGCGCTTTGCAGAAGGCACCCCCGGCGGCACTCACATTCTCCAGGGTGTCCTGGTAGGCGGGCGGCAGGGCTGTGAGCTGGGACTCTGAGTGGTACAGGGAGAAGCCTTTCCTCAGCGTCCGGAACTCTCCAGGGCCCGCCTGCTGGGAAGGATGGGAGACAGGTGAGGAGGGTGGGCTCAGGGCAGAGGTCTGGCGTCAGGGTCTACTCCCTGGTAAACACTTCCTCGGTGGCCTGCCTGGAGCAGGTCTCCAAAGCCCGTGTCATCTGCCCTCATTGGCCTGCCACCACCTACCCTGACTGCCTCTGGTGTCTGTCCCTCCAGGCCCGATGGCCTCCCTGCCTCCAAGAAAGAGTACCTTCTGAACCCCAACACCCCAAATGCCAGTGTCCAAGGAGCCCGATGAGACCGTACAGCGCCCCACCACCACCACACAACACACAGTCCACTATGGGAATGCCTCCCCCACACAGCCTTGCGGGTGGGGGTGAGGGAGGTCAGTGGAGGTTCAGCAGACCCATACCTCAGACCTCCCTTCCCGGTGGGAGACCCGGATTTCATCCTAGTGACTGCGCCTAATGCACAGCCCCTTCCCTCCCCGCCTCACGTGCTGGGGTTTTCAGAGGTTCTTAGAAGAAAGGCCTGGTAATCTACAGCTGAGAACCAGCCAATGAAAGCCCTGTGGGTCAGCACAGCATGACCTACGACTGACCCTGAGCACGGCACATGACAGATGGACGGGGCAGCGTTGTGCCTGGCTGGGCTTGGCAGCAGCTCACAGCTCACAGGGACAGGCTTCAGTGGGGAGTCTAGGTGGCTGATGGCTGCTGTCACCGGCCGGGCAGCTGGAGGGACACTGTATTGGACACTGCACTCCCTCCCACCAGCCCCTGGCCAAGGACGTCCCTTTGCTGACCCCACAGCACCCTGGTTCTGTTTGAGGCTGTGTGTCCTTTGTCCCTTTCACAGCATCTCTGGCCTGGGACTAACGCATGTGCTGTCCTGAGAACACTGGCTGGGGTGGGGGTGGGGGGCGCATCACCTCCCTGCCCCCGCACCACCAGGTAACGCCCTGAAGGATGGAGCGCATGTGGGGGCGGGCCTGGGAGGGTTTTTTTAATTAGCTGCACGCATGCTTTCCCCAGCACATCTATAAATACTGGCACGCCGAGGAACTTTATGAGCACGGCGGGCGGGGAGCACGCACCACCTCTCATTAACTGGCACTGTGGCTAATGACGCGTCGAAATGAGTCACCACGTGTGCACTTAGAAACAAATTAAAAATCCTAGTGTCTGCTGTGGGGTCTCCTGGCGGTATGAGATCCAGGATCTTATCCCTGGGGGGAAGCGGGGGCTGAAGAGGTGGTGGGGGCCTGGGCAGTTGGGGTGAGGTTGTGGACAAACCCACAGCCACAAGAGTCAGTCAATGCCAACTCACGGCCACCTTATTACAGAGGAGAACTGCCCCCGTGGGTGCCCGAGGCTGTGACTCTACAGGAGCAGAGTCTCTTTCTCCAGTAGAGTGGCTCTTGGTTTCGAACTGCTGACTTTAAGGTTAGCAGCCCAACTCGTAACCCGCTAAGCCACCAGGGCTCTTGTGCGCCATGGAAGGTGCTGAAAACAAGGGCCATTGGGGGTTCGCTGTCAGAAAAGGACGCCGTCTGCAGCGCTCCCTAGCCCGAGTCCTCGGAACCACTTAAGGAGAGACTAGCACATGGACAGGCCAGGCTCTGGGCACAGACGCTTCCTGAGCTTCCTGGTTGGTGGTATGCATGGACGCAGGCAGAGGCTGGTCTCCTGAGGGAGAGAGGGAACCCTGGATTTGTAGCCAGCAGGTCAGAAGTGAGGGGAGCCCCGGAGGTCCTCAAGCTTGCAGCTGACATCTTGAAGGGGCTGTGGGAAGTTGGGGGTATTGTGGAGAACCCTAAGTGTGTGGCTGGCATCTTGGGCAGACTTGGTGGTCGGGATGGCCATGCCTTTTACCCTGTGGCCTCCAGAGAGGCAAGATGTGGGCTATGGGCAGGGCTCGCAGGCGGACACCACAGCCCGAGAGGACACGGAGATGCTAGCACGTGTAGCAATGCACTGATCTCTGCAGAGTGGACTGCCAAGCAGAGGGCAGCCTCGATGACCAGGATTCCTTATCAGGCCACTGGGGAGCTGATGGCAAGGTGTGCTTGTGGGAGCCTGTTTGCACAGGGCCTGGGTATAACTGCGACCATTATCAGCCACTGTGTGTGCAGGGAACAACAGGGCCCAGGACCAGAGACACACCCTGCACGTGGAGACTAGGTTCACTAGGTTGGGGGCAGGTGACAGGAACTGGAGGGGGAAGACAAGACTGGTCCTCCTGACTGGGACAGGGAGACGCTTAGGAAGAGCTGGAGGAGC